AGTAGACCGTCCCACGCTTGCAAATTTTTTTGAGCACACTGGATTACTGGGCAGATTTGGATTCTTTGTCGAAAACTAAGGTTGACGTGTCGGAGGGTTTTCGAATTTTCGATAAATTGGTGGGTGCTCAACGCCCTTGAAGTTTTGACACCTTTTTTCCCCACTTAAAGTACTCTAAAGTCGCTCCAAATCGTCCCAGATGAACGGGTGAGGTATCGTTGGATTCGTTGGACCCTACTGTACATGAAACCACCGCGCCCGAGCCCCTGGGGTCGATTGCCTACCTCCCCGGGGCCCGAAAATGGTCCAGTGTACCCAAAATAAGCTGTTTTCCGGGGTTTGCCGGGCTCCAGAATCAGCTGAGAGCACCTCCGGAAGCCTTTTCTGGTCGGGATGTGTTGGTAGAGTGTACGCCTACGCTGGGGAACGGCGGCTGGCTTATTTAGAGGGGCTGCCTATCTCTCATGGGCAAATAATGCGATTCGAAACGGACTAAACAGTAAAAATGACGTCAAAACCACCGAAATCGCGCTGTATTCACTAGCAACCTGGTTTTTAGCACTGTGTGGTGTTTCTGGGTTCAATGGAACCTAGCGTGGACACAGCTGTATATAGCGCGATTTCGGTGGTTTTGACGTCATTTTCACTGTTTAGTCCGTTTCGAATTGCATTATCTGCACATGAGAGATAGGCAGCCCCTCTAAATAAGCCAGCCGCCGTTCCCCAGCGTAGGCGTATACTCTACCAACACATCCCGACCAGAAAAGGCTTCCGGAGGCGCTCTCAGCTGATTCTGGAGCCCGGCAAACCCTGGAAAACAGCTTATTTTGGGTACACTGGACCATTTCTGGGCCCCCGGAAGGTAGGCAATCAACCCCAGGGGCTCGGGCGCGGTGGTTTCAGGTACAGTAGGGTCCAACGAATCCAACGATACGTCTCCCGTTCATCTGGGACGATTTAGAGCGACTTTAGAGTACTTTAAGTGGGGAAAAAAAGTGTCAAAACTTCAAGGGCGTTGAGCACCCACCAATTTATCGGAAATTCGAAAACCCTCAGACACGTCAACCTTAGTTTTCGACAAAGAATCCAAATCTGCCCAGTAATCCAGTGTGCTCAAAAAAATTTGCAAGCGTGGGACGGTCTAAGGGTGGAGGGCGGCGCACCCTTCACGACGCCCCGGTCCCGGAATGCCACTATACACGTCGGTCGGGGCGATGCTCTGCACCCCCGAGCCCGGGCGGGAGAGGGGGAGTGGGCGGGGGGACATCGCCATCATAAATATTTAAAGGGACCGTCCATAAATTACCCGGACGCTTGGGGGGCTAAAAGCAAAGAGCCCCAGCCGTAAGGGAAGGGCTAAGGGGAAAGAGGGCGAGGGAGGGGGGGGGGAAGACGCATAGGAAAGGTTGAGCGCACTGCTAGTCGAGATGAGTCGAGGATTAGGGAAAAAGGGGTGGGTAGGCGGTGGTGATGGTAGTGCACCAGGTGCTCGTAGGAAGGGCGCGAGAGAGGCGAGGCAGGAAGCGGAAACGGACGAGGCGGCGGTGCCGGCGGCGGAAACAGGGCGAGAGGAGAGGGGTGAGGTTGGCGAGGGCGAAAGGTCGGGGGGTGGGGGCAAGGAGGGCAAAGGGACTACAACAACAACAAGATATCAGGGTGTGAGCCCGCTGCTGGGCGCATTTCAAATCATCAATTGGCGCGATATTCGTCGATGTGTCTGTCTGCGTGTGCGCCTCCCCCGCGGCCCTCGCGCCGACAGACACACACTCGACCCGACCCAGTTCCAGGGGATGATGATTCCAGCTCGCCCGAGGTGGTGAGGTGAGGTGAGTTGAGTTGAGCTGCTGCTGCTCTGCTCCGAGCACGAGCGCGCGCTAAATTCAAATTGACGTAAAAAAACTGGACAAGTGACTTCTTAATGAAATGCTGTCCGTACGGCGGCACGGACGGCCGCGACCCCATCCTCGACCTCGTCCAGATAGGGGAGAGGGGGGGGTGACCTTGTAGTGTGCACATATAGGCCGATGTGGCGGTCGAGTCAACCGTGTACCGTGTGTGTACCGACGGGCCGTGTCGACCGCGCACCCCACCCCACCACGCCCGCGTCGACAAGTACACGCGGGGGACTTTGGCGTGGTTCGACGGGGCGGGGCGGGGCGGGGCGGCATGAGCTTCAACAGAGCGACGGACGCAATGCCAATTTCGATTGCGATGTTGCGTGAGAGAGACAGTACAGGGCTCGGGGAGGGGTCGTGTAGGGTCGTATTGAGCTCGTAGTCGTCGTCGTCGCGGTCCTCGGGGGTTCGCGTCACGCGCAGGCGCCCTCCCCCGAGGCGAGCGCGGCGGCCTTCTCGAGGTAGAGCGCGGTGCGGTGGCCGGCGGCGCAGCTGCTGCAGCCGAACATGTCGCGGTCGAGCCGGAAACAGCGGCCGCTGCGCAGCTCCAGGTCCGCGTCCTCGTCCGGCCGCAGCGTCCGCCCGCGCGCCTCCAGCTCCTGGGCAGGGACCGGAAGTGACAGGGACCGGAAGTGAAAGGGGGTGTCTAGTTAAGGGTGGGTGCGCGCCTCAAGCTCATAGGTAAGAAACCGGAAGTGGCAGGGAATGTCTAGTTAAGACCGGATGCGCGCCTCCAGCTCATAGGCAAGGAACCGGAAGTGGCAGGGAGTGTCTAAGGGCTGGTGTGCGCCTCCAGCTCAAGAAAGCGGAAGTGGCAGAGCGTGCCTAGTTACTTGCGCTGGGGCCCGCACCTGCTCTTCGCAGGTGAAGCGCAGCCGGTAGCGGCAGCAGGGGCCGGGGCCGAGGCCCTGCACCGTGTAGCGGGCGCCGCCGGGCAGCTCCAGGGCGTGCACGAGGAAGATGCTGGCCTCGGCCGCGGCCGGCCCGGCGAGCAGCACCACCTCGCAGCAACGGCTGGAGGCGAAGGTGCGGCCAAGGCCGGGGGGCGGGGGCGCGCGCCCGCGGCCCAGCACCTCCACGAGCCGGTACCAGTGCGCGGCCACGGCCTCGGCGGCGTGCTCGGCCACCAGGTGGGCGCGCTGCCGGCTCCACAGCCCGCGCCACCGGCACTCGCCCAGGTAGCAGCGCACCTGGACAGAGTCAGGGCTGCGCGGTGTCACCCTGGTTTAAGAGTCAGAGGCCTCGCCAGACCAGGACAGGTCCAGCCTCAGGTGGTTTGCACATTAATGAGAGTGTGCACCACACTTTAGTTTGCGCAACAACTGCTAACCCAAGGGAGGCCTATTAGCCATTACTAGTCCAATGATTCCAGTCTTTTAATTCGCTCCATACTATCGTATTAGTGGAAGAAATAGTGCGGAAACTTTGGGGGTGACCATTTAAAACACGCTTAAATGATGTGCCACACAACCACTAAACTGTAAGAACAGATTAACTACATGTGTGAAATCAAGGTTTAAAAAGTTATCGGATCATAGTGCCCATGTGGTCATTGTGAATATATGCACTGTATACACCCCGCCTTCCTGAAGTAACCTTCCTGCGTATTTTCACAAGTCTGATTTGAACAGTAGTAAAATTAATTAATTTATCATATGATTAATACGACTCCTGACTCATTATCCCACCATTGTCAACTCCGTTTCACACTCACACTGACAGTACTGCACATGAGTCGTCAAAATATCTGAGTCTAGTATATCCTAAAATCAAAATGCAATGGAAAGTGCATTGACATCAGAACTGATTAGATAAATGATAAACAAAAGTATTCATTTCATTCAGAACTGTATTGCGATGGGTACTTAAAGCAATGATGCAACGTGAGCCCAAGACACTGCTTGGCTAGGGGTAAGGTTAGGTGGCCTAACTCCTCTCTCAATCTTCAATGACTTACCCTTTTGAAAGAAAGCTGGTCCAAGTGTTGTATACTACTTTAACGACGGCAAAAGTAAGTATAAACAAATAGGCACAATTACATTTGTAATAAAAATACACAACTACCGCGATGCAAGTTTCCACGAGGCAGATCAAGGTCAAACTCCTCCTCACTCAACTGCTGGCGGATTCACGAGTGACGAGTGGCGACAGGCAAGCGGTAGGGGCGGGAGCGGGGGGAG